GTGTTCAATCTGATTATTAACTTATTTTTTTTTCTCTTCACAAATTGATTTGTTGATTATTTTGATGATTCTCTTCCACAGGACAGCCGTCTGATATTATTTCTCACAGTTTTCTCACAATGTCTGAAGTACTAAAGTGTTAAATTTGGCAACAATTTACCATAAAAATAAGCAGTTCTGATTATTTTGAAGATTGTTTTGCTCATTAAAAACTATTTAAAAAAACTTTGAATGCTCCGGTGTTTTTTTTGTTCTTGATTTTTTGTAATTGGCAATAGATTCCATTTGAAGAGCTTTTGTTTAAAAAAAGTTTTTTTTTTGCAATAAGAAGACTAAACGTTTCGAAAGTTGCTCGGGAAAACGATTTGTACTTTAATTTACTGTGTAACGGGGAGAGTTCTCATACTTGAAGGACCGAATGCTTGAAAAAATTCAACCAATCAAAATCACTAAGCGTTCCTATTGGCTGAATGCCATTGTCTCAAAATCGAAGTCAATATTACCACAAAATGTTTTAAATGAGATGAAAATAATCAAAAATATTACAAATTGCGGGTTACAACCGCAATACGATCCAGATAAACATCAAGATTTATGAGTTCAAGTTCATAAGAATTTTTCAGTCTTGAAAACTCATCTGCTTATGATCTAATTGATCATTATTAACAGTAATAGCCTATTTTTATTTTCTTACCCTGATATTTTTGCAATTTACTTCGAGATTTTGAATACCCAATTCTGATTGGCTGAAAGTAAGCTAAAATAAATTTCAAGCATTCGGTCCTTCAAGCATGAGGGCGCCACACTGTGTAACAACTCTCGCAAATAAATTTTGCATATTCGCGAAATAAATAACAAATTTTACCTTAGCTAAATATAAAATCTAAGAAAACACAACTCGAAATCAACCTAATTTTCAAACAAGAAAATTTCAATTGCATCTTTTTTTTCATGCTCTGCGTTGACTTTTTGTCCGTTGAATTTTTGTCTCTGAGAAATTTGGGGACAAAAGTTTCGTTTTATTCAGCTAACACATTTTTCAACTTTCACGGAGAGTTGTGGAACAGTTGCGAACGGGGCTGGAGAGTGCTTCCAAACACAATTATTAATAATTTAACCAAAAGTTAAAGATTAAATTGTTATTCGGCTACAAATGTGTTGACAGCTTCAGCTCAAACAATTTTTTGTTTGTTACCTATTTTTTGAAACCTATGCGGTTTCATACCGATGAAACATTTGAGTTGATCTACGAGCGTTCTTTACGCAAGTTTCCAGCGCACATAGTGTTCTTAAAGCTTTGATGGTGACTACATCCGGCACATAATCATTCAAAACTAAAATGAGGCAAGCTAACCAATCTTTTAATAAAGTTACTCGAGGCGACCGCTGAACAAACATGTAGCTTGAGCAAAATTGTAGATTGAAAACATCAAAATTTAGCTCAAAACTCATTAACTTTTCTGAGAGATTCAAAAAAATCAATAATCGTTTTAAATTTAAAATCCTTTTAAACCTATTTTTTTTGTAGGAGAGAATCATTTGTGAGAAAGAATCATCTCTGCGAAAGAAGCATCTCACTTTTAATGGAAACGCATAACGTTAATGAGTTCTGTTTGCAATTTGAATAACTATTGTTCCGACTTTTGTATCAAAAGCAACGGAATATTTGTGCTCGGGATAGGTTTTTTTTTCTTTAGACAAATTTCGTTTTTCTAACTAGGCGTTTTTGACGGATTTCTTTAAAAAATCATTTGAAAGGTATTGTCATCTTGAGCTTGAATTTGAAAAGATATCGTTTTCTGCAAGGCTATGGGGGTTTATAGACATGAGGGTTTACAGCCATTTTGGCCAATTTGGAACAATTAACGCGCGATGTATTTCGCGCGATTAAAGCGTAAGCGGAGAATTAATCCGTCGTAAAAATCATTCAAATTGGTTGAAGGAAGCTTACTTGCCATAATTGGTTTGTAAATAGGAGCGAATCTATCACGTTATCACTGCTCCATAGACCTTAAAAGGCTGTCAGAACATTCAAGACTTCGCCCTGATACGAAGAGTCTTGTTGATTTTTGAGATTCAATTTCGTTACTAGACCCAAAATATTTCATTTTGTACTTAACATTTTGTGTATCTTTGGTGATGAAATTTTTTAGGAGTTTTTCTTTTTTTTTCCTGAAATTTAATCAAAAACTACTTCCTAGCTGTTGAAAGGCCGTCGGAAAAATCATTAATTTGCCCTGATACGAGCATTCGTTTTCATTTTTAATACTTGAATTATTGATAAATTGATGAAAAATTATTCTTTTCTTGAACGTTAATAGATAAAAACGAAAAAAAAAGAGAAAAATTGGCGCACAATTTGGTGTTTGTATGTCTCTGGAATTCAGATACGAGTCTTTCAACCTGGTAGACTTTTGTCGGAACAAAAAGAAAACAAAAGAGCAAAAGAAGAACAAAACAAATTGTTCCGGAATCAGCATACAGTTCACAAAAAACACAGCTTGGCCTCGTAATAAAATTTATATTAAAACGACACAAATAGCAGCTAAGAAAAACTCTAAATTAAATTCTTAGAACGTTGGCCACAAATAACTTTTCTCAATTTGTTTTGTAAGGACTTCACCCAGATGTATTTGTTGTTAAAGGAACGCTTTTACCTGAACGGATGAAAAGAAACCAGATGAAAAGCGCCCGTGATTTGTTCAAGTTGGCACAAATTTATCATTCTAAGACCATCCAAAACCATAGAAAAAAACGATCACAGGTGGAGATTGAGGTTTTTTTAGTCTTGAGCAGTTCAACTAGAGATTTTCATTGTGATTTTTTACTTAAAAACTGATTTTTTCAAATCCTTTCCGTTGACTTTTTGTCTCTGAGAAATTTGGGGACGAAAGTTTCGTTTTATTCAGCTAACACATTTTTCAACTTTCACGGAGAGTTGTGGAACAATTGCGAACGGGGCTGGAGAGTGCTTCCAAACACAATTATTAATAATTTAACCAAAAATTAAAGACTAAATGGTTATTCGGCTACAAATGTGTTGACAGCTTCAGCTCAAAAATTTTTTTGTTTGTTACCTATTTTTTGAAACCTATGCGGTTTCATACCGATGAAACATTTGAGTTGATCTACGAGCGTTCTTTACGCAAGTTTCCAGCGCACATAGTGTTCTTAAAGCTTTGATGGTGACTACATCCGGCACATAATCATTCAAAACTAAAATGAGGCAAGCTAACCAATCTTTTAATAAAGTTACTCGAGGCGACCGCTGAACAAACATGTAGCTTGAGCAAAATTGTAGATTGAAAACATCAAAATTTAGCTCAAAACTCATTAACTTTTCTGAGAGATTCAAAAAAATCAATAATCGTTTTAAATTTAAAATCCTTTTAAACCTATTTTTTTTGTAGGAGAGAATCATTTGTGAGAAAGAATCATCTCTGCGAAAGAAGCATCTCACTTTTAATGGAAACGCATAACGTTAATGAGTTCTGTTTGCAATTTGAATAACTATTGTTCCGACTTTTGTATCAAAAGCAACGGAATATTTGTGCTCGGGATAGGTTTTTTTTTCTTTAGACAAATTTCGTTTTTCTAACTAGGCGTTTTTGACGGATTTCTTTAAAAAATCATTTGAAAGGTATTGTCATCTTGAGCTTGAATTTGAAAAGATATCGTTTTCTGCAAGGCTATGGGGGTTTATAGACATGAGGGTTTACAGCCATTTTGGCCAATTTGGGACAATTAACGCGCGATGTATTTCGCGCGATTAAAGCGTAAGCGGAGAATTAATCCGTCGTAAAAATCATTCAAATTGGTTGAAGGAAGCTTACTTGCCATAATTGGTTTGTAAATAGGAGCGAATCTATCACGTTATCACTGCTCCATAGACCTTAAAAGGCTGTCGGAACATTCAAGACTTCGCCCTGATACGAAGAGTCTTGTTGATTTTTGATATTCAAATTCGTTACTAGATCCAAAATATTTCATTTTGTACTTAACATTTTGTGTATCTTTGGTGATGAAACTTTTTAGGAGTTTTTCTTTTTTTCTTCCTGAAATTTAATCAAAAACTACTTCCTAGCTGTTGAAAGGCCGTCGGAAAAATCATTGATAAATTGATGAAAAATTATTCTTTTCTTGAACGTTAATAGATAAAAACGAGAAAAAAAGAGAAAAATTGGCGCACAATTTGGTGTTTGTATGTCTCTGGAATTCAGATACGAGTCTTTCAACCTGGTAGACTTTTGTCGGAACGAAAAGAAAACAAAAGAGCAAAAGAAGTACAAAACAAATTGTTCCGGAATCAGCATACAGTTCACAAAAAACACAGCTTGGCCTCGTAATAAAATTTATATTAAAACGACACAAATAGCAGCTAAGAAAAACTCTAAATTAAATTCTTAGAACGTTGGCCACAAATAACTTTTCTCAATTTGTTTTGTAAGGACTTCACCCAGATGTATTTGTTGTTAAAGGAACGCTTTTACCTGAACGGATGAAAAGAAACCAGATGAAAAGCGCCCGTGATTTGTTCAAGTTGGCACAAATTTATCATTCTAAGACCATCCAAAACCATAGAAAAAAACGATCACAGGTGGAGATTGAGGTTTTTTTAGCCTTGAGCAGTTCAACTAGAGATTTTCATTGTGATTTTTCACTTAAAAACTGATTTTTTCAAATCCTTTTCTAAATTACTTGACAGAAAATCACAGCTAACGCAAAAATGGAAACACTGAACCAATTTTTTGATGCAATAAGAATGCATTGCCTACGCAATTACAGGTGACTTTTGGTATTATTTTACTTTTGAAGAATATGGACATCAGTTTTTTGCTCATTCGGCAAGCAATATGGGGAAAAATGGATTGAACAAAATTTAATTAATGCTGGCGACATATCGGCGACATATCGTTTATTCCAGGATTCAAAAAAGGCTGGGCCAAAAACTTTTTAAAATTTGGATCCCAATTTTTGCTAATTGATCTTCCAACACTAACCTCTATTGAAACCATCTGGCAGCTTATCAGGCTCTTGAGATTCCGATTTCTTTTTACTCAACATTTCTGACCGATTTTTTTACTGAAGAAGAAATCGGTGAAGCTCAGTTTTTGTAGATAATTTTATTTGAGTATTAATTGCATTTAATGGTATAAAACAAAGATTAAAAGTTTTGTTAACTGACTCGATAGCTGATTTAGCTACCATCATTGATCAACAAGTCTTTGTAAATATTCGGTTAATTTCATTTCGCCATTGAAGCATTTTTAATCAAAAAAAAATTAAACAATAAAAACATCTCGCCATTGAAGACAGCAAAAGTTTCCATTGAAAAAGAACTTGATCAAAATACTGTAGCAACAGTTGCCCAAAGGTATTATCTTGCTACAGTCGAATGTTTCAAAAAAATTGATACACACGAGAGGGGGGGGGGGGTAATTGAGGAGAGCACCTTTTTTCTGTTTGTCAAATTTTTAAACTAATTTTCTTTTATTTTGAGCCAAGTGGTATTTAGTTCGTTACGTTTTTTTTCAGACAAACAAACAAAAACATTTTGAACTATCAACTTTTTCGATAATTGAATTTGTTCATGCCAAAAATTAAGTAAGACTGCTCGTGTCACGAAAAAATATTAGCGCAGTTTTTGAATCAATTCGATTGCGCCGCAGTTCAAATTGGGAAAATATCTGAGCCCGGTTAAATTGCGGTTCCAAATTAAAGGGGTTAAGCTATGAGGTGGGTCAATTTTATTCCTGTAATCAGTGAGATGAATCAAGTTTCTCAATAGGAGCGGTTTCCATTTCCCGAACACGAGTTTCCAAAGAAAGTTATATTCGAGACCTCAGTTTTTTTTTGTCAATTCTTCTTATATTCTTATATGTCCAAAACAGTGAAAAGTGTTTAAGTGTTTAATTAACATCAAACCCCGAAAAAATGACATTCTTTCGATTCCAGGAAAGATCCGATGTTATACCAGATGAAGTTTAAGTTTTATTTTGCTCTTGAAAAGTACAACATTACCATTGATCAAACCAATCTGTAATCAAACCACCCCCCCCCCCCCCCCCAAAAAAAAAAATTCGCCCCAAACGAGACTATTTTCACCATGAGGTCAAAACAATGATTTTGCTGTGATGAGAAAAGGGTAGCAATCAGAGACCCAGTGGCCAAGGAAAATGATCGTTAATCGGAAGTCGCACAAGAGACAAGGTCGATAGTGCGTCGAGCTTATCAAGGACTTCGGGAAGAGCTAAACGGCAGACGAGATTCAATGGTTCTCCATTGCGTTATGCAGTGAATTGCGATTCGGCAGAGGCAAATACGACACCGCATGTTGCTCCAGTATTGTTATCTATTGATTAAAATCAAGAAGACACCCCCGGTGATCGTATTTGCATGTGTCGAGACGAAGTTCACTGCGTACCGCAATAGAGTATCATTGAATCTCGTCTGCCGCTGACTCTGCATTCGGTCCAGTGGTAATAGTCTTTGAGGGTGGTTTCAAATTCATCTGGGAGTTTGACAGAATCAGAGGATGAGGCTTCTCCAGTCGAAGAAATATCATTTTCCAGAAACCACGTGATTCAGTCTTTGAACAGAAACTCTGCTCAAAAAGCTAATAAAATTTGTTTGAAAGTGGTGCTGTGTAGTTATTTCAAAGATTTTTTTTCACAAAAATTTTCTAGTTAAATGCACAATCTGTTACCAAAAACTCTCCTTCCCTCAGCAACAACTCCAAAGAGTGGATTGTCGTCACCTTCTGGTCAATAATTTGAAGAAATTTGTTATAGAATTTTTGAGGCTTGTACCGATAAAATTTTGTACACTGAAACCCAAATAACAGATACAATTTACAATGCTCCAATTTAAATTTAGAAGTTACAAATCGGTGTTGATTTTTCTATAAATTATTTATTTTCAATATCAATCCGGCAGGCTTCTATATTTAGAAATTTGGAAAAAGTCTCAGAAAAACCTGGATTTTACTGGTCGGGAACTATCCAAATGTTTTTGAAACAACCAGTTAGGGATCTAGTTTTAAATTTCTCGAGTAATTTTTTAGCAGACAGAAGTACAGAAGTCTTGAACGAAAACAAAATCTGATTGACAAGAGTCTTGACTGAAAAGTTTAGTCTTTTTTATAATCGGGTCTCAAACTTTCCATTTCAAGTTTTTAATTTTCCCTTTGGTATCTTGATTCGACAGATACGGAAAGCCTCCTTGACAGAACATAAATGGCAACCCAAAGCTTTGACTAAAAGAACAGTTTACAAGGATTGCACTAGCCAATTTTTTTGTGATTTCTGCTCTTATAAAATTTCTTTACTGTATACCCCGGTCTGGTTTCGTGAGAAAAAAACATTACCATGTTCTCGAGTATTATCGTTTTATTGGTCCTACTCATGAATCCTCTAACTCAAGAATCAAGCTACCATTTTATGTGAAGAAGAATAGGTATCTCCCAGAAACACTGAGAATGAATTTCGGGCGTCAACTCCAACTACTATTTTCTAAACATTAAATAAGTTACGAATTAAAATTTAAGTGACAATAGTTTTTTGCGTAAGCAGTTTTAATCGGTCAGCAGTCATGTTGTCTATAGTTTTCTCCCACAAACATTCATCACCTCAAAAGAGGGGGCAAAATTCGAGATTTTTAAGTTTATCTTAGCAAAAGTTTGCTATGTTTGGAAGCATGTATCCCAGTATTAACATACCGCTTCTATTTTTGCCAATGAAATGGTTGAAATGGTTTTGAAGGGTTTTGAATGTAGGAACTACATCTTTGTTGTTGAAGAACCGTACGAAATCATTTAAAGTATGCCGCGTTGTTCCAATATGCTTTTTGAATCAAATAGTTTTCAATTTTTCATTCGTAAAGGGAAATCAAATAGGTTCTTTGGCCCAAAATCTTTTTTTTTAATGAATCAAAAGTTTCTGTTTATCCCAGAAAATCAATTTGCCGAGAAAATCAATCTCAGCTTTCAAATTGAAGGACACGAAATCTTTTGTTTGTTTCATGACTGTTCGTTGAGTTTTTCAATCATAAATAAGAAACGCAATCAAATACGACTTCATAAAAAGACTTGACAAAATACAACTTGATCAAAATCGAAAGAAATAGTTGACATTGAATTTTAGTTTCAATTATTTGGTTCTTTTTTCGAAATCATGACTCAGAAACCTCGGAATTAACTGACAATTTTTCTAGAACCTTAAAATACTTTTTTTTTTAAAATGACTAATTTTAGAGTTCAACTGTGATTGTTTAATTATTTGACATGATCGTTTTCAAACACTAAGGTAACACTTATTTTTTAACAAATAACTTTTTTGGAGATATGTACTCATTTCTGGCGCCGCTTGTGTAGACAAAAAAAAGAGCAAGAAGAACTATTTAATTTTTGGTACAACAGTTAATGCAGCAACACAGTAAAGATTATTTCAAATTGTCAGTTAATTTGTTTCAATTTTGCTTAATGAGTTGAGTTTTATAAATAATTAAGACGCAATGAGTTTTCTGATAGAGTAAAATCATTTAAAAAAATCAACAACACAAACAAAAATTGCCATGTAAATACATCTAAAAGGTTTCAACAATGAAAAAGTTGGTGGAACAATTTTTGTTTCATCAATAATCAATTATGAAAATGGACCTCAAGCCATTTGTTTATATGGGTACATGCTGGATTAAATTGCATTTAAATAGTTAAGCTGGTTCAATTTTTTCTTAGGTTTGAAGTAGTGTTGTCAAATTTTTGTAATTTTGCTGGCAAAGAGTTCCAGTTTTTTCCATGTGAACTGAAAAAAAAAACATGTTTGAATAGAATCAGTTGAGCAGTGATTATCAGGAGCTTTTTGCTTAGTGCGATTATAATTTCTGTAAGGAACTCAGGGTATTTTTTCATTATTTTGCAGAAAGTTTTCTTTTCATAGTAAGATACTGATACAATTAAATTAAAAATTCAGTTTTATTATGTTTTCAGGTTCAATAAAGGACTTGTTTTCACGAAAAAAAAATTGATGAATTAGTTTGCATCTAAACATTTTGCGTTTTAGGGCCCGTTCAATTTCAATTGTAATTCTAAAGACGTTAATGACTTTGCTTTAATTTGCTTCAACTAAATCGCTGCATATGCTAAACGGGATGAAACTAAACGTTAAAGCAAGGCAACCAAATTTTGTAGGCCAACGATGTCCAATTGTATCTCGTTGAGTCATTTTTTGCGTGTTTTTTTATTTGAGTTTGAAATGACGAACTAGTAATTAGTAACAAACCAAAGTACTTGAATTCAGATTTTTCATGTTATTTTTTGATTTACCAATTGACACCTACACTTTGAACGCTTTCATCCAAAAAATTTTAAATCATTGCATTAGTTTGGGTTAAGTAGCCATGATAGCGTTCCAAGTCAACTTTTTAGGAGAAATAGAGTCAAATGAATTCAAAACTCCAATCATCTACATTAACCTTTTTTAAGTCAATTCTTATCGGACGCTTTCAGTAACGTAGATAAGCACATTTTGTGTGGATTAGTTTCGCGAAATCCAAACTGAAAGGGAAAATTATTTGTTGTTTTTCTAAGTGTTCTGTGATTTTGGCATTACAAATTTTCTCAAAAAATTTGGATAGTGTACGGGTGATTGAACTTAGTCGATGGCACTGAGGATCCATTGGATCATATTTTATAAACATGGAGATCTAATTGGTTTTATCCAATTCCGTGGGAAAAAATTTCTCATCTATGCAATCAAAATTAGCAAAAGTTAACTATAACACATAATTATTACCCAAGCAGGAGCAATACAAAGTCGCAGAAGTTTTTTGGGAGTATATAATAACCTTGCTTTACTGTTACATGCTGAAAAAATGTAGATTGGTAACTCAGAAATACTTGCATTAGAAAACTGAGCTGTAGTGGTGCCTAAATTTCCCCTGGAGTTGAATAAACATATCTATTTTCAAAAACACATTCGTGTACTTTCAGTATGAATGGAAGAACAAACTATGAAAATGTTCAGCCAAGACCTAACTTAAGTAAAACCAACAAGCTCTTTCAACTTTATTTTAAACTCAATGACTAAACAGAGGGTTACAGGAAAATCATTCAATGTTCCATTCGCCCCGGATTGGCACAGTCGAAACCGCCGATGCAC